TTGCAGAGGTGATGGAGCTGTGTTCTGTGTAGCACTCTTCTAGAGCATAGTCAGCCAGGGACACAGTGATGTCTTGTGGCTGTTCTCGTGCTTTCCCACCTCTGTAATTCACATGTAATCCAGTTTTCTAATACTCTTAAACTAATCGAGGAGCCCACTGTCACATACAGAACATAATAGGTTATTTTCTGCATTGCCTGCTGCTGCCACAGATTCTCTTCCATGTGTAACTGTATGGTGAGTGGCAGTAGTTTACTGATCTGGGTGGAAATGAGTGTTTTCTTCACGGCTGGATCAGCAAACTGAGCTGACTTGCCATGTGGCCACAGAATTGCTGGTTTGAGTGGAAAGAAAGCAGGAGAGATAGGGAACTCAAGATTATATTTTTTAATGACCTGTGAATTTTGGTATTTGAAGCCATTTATAGAACTGTGTCCTCAGTCAGTGCATACCTGGATTTGTTCATTACACTAATACATAATTACCTTGAAAGTTACAAGGATATTTTCAAGCTACGGCAGGGGAGATTCAGGCTGGACATGAGGAAGTATTACTTTTCAGAAAGGGTGGTCAGGCACTGGAATGGACTGCCCAGGGAGGTGGTGGAATCACCGAGCCTGGGGGTGTTCAAGGAAAGGCTGGATGTTGTGTTGAGGGGCATGGTTTAGTAGGAGCTATTGGGAATAGGTGAACGGTTGGACTGGGTGATCTTTTAGGTCTTTTCCAACCTTGGTGATTCTATGATTCTATGATATTAAAAGTGAGAATGATACAAAGTTCTGGATTATTTTTTGTTGGGCTTCTTTTCAGTTTGTGCTGCAGGACAGAGGACTTTGCTCATGTACCATTAGCACAGGCACTGAATTAAAGCTATTTACTTCAGGATCGGGATCGACTGATTCTGGAAGGAATGTAAATAAAACAAATATTAGATCTAACATATTTGCACCTCTAGACTGCATAGTTCAGTCTTCCATAAAATGTCCATTAAATGAGCTCCATCTGACACACCTTTTTTGCATGACTCAAAGTTCAGAAGGGAATGGAAAAGACTTGTGTAGGTGACGTATGGTTTAATATCTGTTTTTAAATGAAATCTTAACTTTATAATTCCAGACTATTAAATGATCCTGGTTTTTTGTAGGGTGATGGTGGAGGGTTTTTTCCTCTTACGCAATTGACAGATATTTACAGCCTTTTGCTTGCTTGGCTGGAAGCTTTTTTTCATGGGAATTCCATATAACTTGATATTAGTCTGTTATATATAGTATCTATAAGCAGTTTTTGGGAAAGAAAAAAAAAAAAAAAAAAGGTGAACAGACTTTGCATCATCTGTAACAGTTTCATAGATCTTAGTGGGAGTTTTATGTTCTTTTCCAATTCATTCATGTTGCAATACCAGCAACATTTTATTTTTTTAATGGCTGGATTCATTAATGCCTCATATCAATCCATTGTGGAACAAACTATTGCCAGAAATCCTTAGACAGCTGGTTCATTTTCACTTTGTTCTGTTTATACTTTTTACAGAATTTGCCTGGTTGCATGTCTGACCTCCACAAAATACAGTAGGCTTTTCTCTTTCTCTGTAATGGAAAGCTGCTATAAAGCTTTTACAGTCTCCATAGCTCAGCTTCAGGAGTCTGAGGTTCTCTCTGTGGACTCCAGTGCCACTGGTGGATGTATCACCCACACTTCTAGGTGGGCTTTGTGCAGCTTGGTTACCAGTGAATGCACAGTAGGCTGTAGCTTCAGCAAAGTGTGCCAACTTAGCAGCCTGGTGTTGGCATTTGGTTGTCCTGCCCCCTGCTCATCTCAGAGCTCCCTGTTGTGGTGTTGCTTCTGGCCTGTTTCTGCAGGACTGATGTGGGGACTCTCTGGGCATGAGACAGGACTGAGGTGGGCCAGCTGCCTCATGGAAGTGTCTGCCTCTCTGTCTTCCCTGGCAGCTTAGGGAACAGCTTGCTTTTTCACTGGGATGGGGTTAGTTGGCCCCTCTGTACTCTTGTACCCATTTTTTTGTACCTTTGCAATGAAACTTGTCCTAGGAGAGAGGCATGCTGTACTGACACACCTGCTGGGGAATTGTGCTGTACAGCTGTGTGCTGCCTGCAGCTGAACTCTGCCCAATGCTTAAGAGAGAGCATAGCAGTCAGAAGAGTGCGATCCCTCTCGCTTGTTTTTCCATTCTGTTACACATTCTGTGTCAGCTGAGCTACAGAAAAAGTTGCTGTTCAGAGTAGTGACATGTAGCTGTCATTTTCCATTAGAATTAGACCTATTTTAACTTAGTTTTGCTAGAAAATCTCTTCAGAACCACTTTTTAGGAAGTCTGTTTATTTAGCTGTAACAGATCCTTGCCCAAACACAAGGACTGATAAATGTAATGACATTAAAGAAATCCAGTTACCTTTCTTCTGGTGGAAGGCCAGAACACACACCAGAAAGGCTTTGGACACCTAACTTTGAAAATCCCTTGCTCAGCATTTTCCTAGTCAGTAAGTGTTTAAATTCAGATAAATAGGGCCTCCTTTGCCCATAAGGCCTCATTACTATTGCATCCAGTTTTCCAAGCAGGCATTCTCCCAAATGCCTCTTTTTATTTGCCAGCTTGACATCTAGTAGGGCCAATCTGTAACAGAAGGATACTTCGACTAGGCCTAGAAGCAGAGCTTTGAACACAGATAGAAGAAACCCAAGGTACAAGAAGCTGGGAGAAACCACATTTTCCTTTGCCCCCTCTTTCCCTTTGTGTGTCCCATCTGGAGGGTGCCGTGTGAGATAGGGGGGTCAGCACTGCAGCCCTGCAGTGGTTTAGCTGAGCTCCATACGTGCGGGCATCCCAGTGAGGATGGAACATGCACTTGGTGTCAGAAAGCTGGGGAATGAACACATCAACTAAATAAAGATGCAGACTTCATTAAAAACAGCTACATTAGGAAGGGTTGTCTGCTTAATTGTTCACGTTCTACAAGATGCAGCTAGGGCTCGGCTGGATGTGTTCCCAGTGTTCATAAATCTACTCATGAAGAAAGCGGAGCAAGTGAGCGCTAAAAATTCCTTTGTTTTGTTTTGCTTTGTGTTTTAAATTTTGAAAATCATATTTGGTGTGTATATTTTCACATGTTCATATGAAACACATCAAAGTAAACACATGCAGTGTGTTTCTTTTGCTGTCATTAATCACAGCAGCGTTTTAAAAAGTAACAAAAAATACAGCAACGTTAAACTGTGGTCAAAAAATGAAATATACACAGCTATAGAAATTTGAAGTTCTCCTTTGCCAGGACAAATGTAGCTTGACAACCGTGTGTGTTTATGTATCAGCATATGAAGTAAGTCTGGTTAGCAAATTGGACTTTTTTTTTCCATTAAAAACCTCCCAACTTATATTGAAATTTTTTCAAGTACTTTTTCAACCTACCTGAAGACTCAACTGAAAATTCAGGGAAAGAAAATGGCTGTAAATTCTTCAAACACCTTTAAGAACCATTATCTTCCAATACTTTGCCACAGAATGCACTTGAAAAACAAACAAACAAAAAAAAGGCATTCTCTTTAAGCCCTGCTTATGGCTTCATCTGGGCAATTTCTGTTTGGGGCACAGTTGAGTACCCAGGAGTAGATGTGAAAGATGAGAGTTGTTTGTTTCGGGCTTTGGTTTTGTTTTCTGTTTTTTTTTCAGCCACTGAGGTACCTGAGAACAGCCTGTGAGAAGTCCACCCACCTGTCCTTTCCTGAGGTGTTGGGGAGCAGCTTTCAGGCAGGGGGTGGCTATTTTTGAATGCATTTGAGCTTCCTATTTCCTTGTTTCTCACAGAAAAGCAGTTTGTAGTCTCTGTGTCATTAAACCTGGATACTACCAAAAAGGGAAGGGCAGCATCACACTTCTATTCCCTCCAGCAGCCTCCCCTGGGAGTAGATGCGCAGCCCACCTCTGCTGCTTCTCTCCTCTTTCAGCAGCAGCCCAGCAACCCAACCAGCAGCCTGGTCCCTGTCAGCCCATTCTCCAGGGTCTGGATGCTAGTTATGGATGTGAAATGTTATAGTTATTTTCCTTGCTCTGATGAATGCGTTTATGAGAGGAACTGGGACAGAACTGGCAGTCTGCAAGTTAAGAGAGATGATGCTGTCATGTTGCTCTTCAGTCAGATGTGGGAAGTTGTTTTCATAAATATAAGTTAGACTTTCCCTACAAAGAGAACTTGGATAGAATATAATTAACTGGGGATCTTTAAAGATGGTTTTCAAGCTTCAGTCCTTATGAGAGCTGTTTCCTTTCTTTTTTTTTTTCTTCTTTTTTTTTTTTTAATTTCACATCGAAATTGTACTTTTGCAGCTCTGTTTGTCTAACTTTTTTTGCTTAAATACACAGAAAAGATCACAACCATGAGGAGGCTAAGCCAGAAGTGCTGTATTTTCTCAGCTTCTTTTTCCTGCACTCTTAAATGCACTCCTTGTTTTTTAAGATTATATACAACAGATAAACAAGTGTGCGTATTTTTCACGTAACTAACAACCACTCAGACAGTTCCTGCCTCATATTGCTGAATAATCTGAAACTTCCTGAATGCTATAGAAGACCACTGTTTCTTCCTACAAGTATTTTAGCTTGTGGGTTTGCCTAATTTACCAGTGTTCCAATAATCTTTGAGACTAATTAAGGCAACACATCAGTTCATTATCAAACTGAGTAATCAAACTTAGGAGTACTGTTGCTTGAGGCTCTGTGCGGGGAATTGGGTTTCAGAATCTAAATGATCCCCAGGTGCATATCTTTTCTGTGGCAAACAGAAAGTGCCAGAAGTCTGGAATCACAATTTAGGTACCTTGATCAGGTAGGATGGATTTGGGCTGAGACATACAACTTCTTAAGCAGAAAATACGTGAGCTTTCAAATAGTGTCAATCCAATTAATTCTTAACGTCTTGGAGAAGCATGGCAGAACGTGAAATGCTTCTCAGTTCTCAAGTTCATAACTTTTCCCTTTCCCTCCACAGAGGCTGCTACCGACCCCCCTACAGCACCTGACAACGAACCTATGTTTACAAAACTACGCAGTCCGAGCACAGGCAAGTTTTGGAATTGTGACATGAGCCTGTTAATGCTTTGGTTGATTCCCTCCACCACCAAACTATTCGTATTTTGCAAGCTGAAATAGTGATAATAATGTAAGTCTTATGTGCCAGAGATACTGCTGTTGATGCCAGATAGTTTAATGCTGTGCAAACATTTCGGATTTCTTTTATAATTTTAATTGGTTGAACTGTTTATTCATCAGGAATATTGGCAGCACAAAAAAGAATTGTAATTTAAGTTGTGTTTTTAAATGCATTTGATTTGGGGAACTTGCAGTGTTGGGTGTTGAACTTTGGCTTTTTTTTTTTTAATCCAAATTTAGGCTTCATACCATTCATCTCATGCTGTAAAATAAACAGGCAGAGTCAGAAAAGTGATACAGTTATACTTACCAAGCTTTTTGAGTCTTTTCGTTTTTAAAGCTAATATTCTTCTTGCTTCAAGCAGTGCTATCTCTTTTCTTATTAATAGATGATGAGGCACTTTAAATACAAAATACATTGGAAAGACCAGCAAATGCAGGTGATATAATCATACCACCATCCCACAAATAGTTACTTTCCTCTGGTCAGATTGCCCTTTTTGTCAAGGATTTCTTATTAAGTATGAGTAATCTAATCACAGAATTGTAGGGGTTGGAAGGGACCTCCAGAGATCATCGAGTCCAACCCCCAGTGTTTGCAGTATGAGATACTGGAATAGAAACTTGCAGCAAGCCTTGGTTAAGGTTAATGCGTTTTGTTTAAAGACAGAATTAATGCATTTTTTCCTTTTTTTACAATCTCATTTGATTTCTAAGTTACGTATTTTTATATTGAAATTCACTATTCTTATTTATGTGTTTGTAACTGGAGTCTTCAGGTACTTTAACACATGATATACTCATTTCTAAGTCTTCCTGAAAGAGTAATTTAAAAACAATAGATACAGAATATGAAATCATTTATCCTCATCATGATGCCTATTTTTTGATTGCTCAGATTTACTATGAGAATATACAGCCACAGACATTTTCCACTTGCTTTATTATGTTGTCTTGTAATTTATTATGTTTTTAAAAGCACACATGTTAATTTGCTTTTCTCTGTGGAAGATCTATTCAACTTGATGAATATGAGATCTTGGGAAGGGTTTCTGGGAAAAACCAAGAGTACAATGATTTGACTGGGTGTGTTTCTTTAGAATTTACAGAAGCTTATTTGTAGACCTGCATGAACTTCCAGTGATGTAGCGTATTAATATTTGAAAATAGAAGGACTGAGAACTCCTGATAATGTCTTTTGCTTATGTTTGGATCTAACAAACAAATTGTTGTTGGCAAATATTGTATAAATAGCCACTGAAAGATTCAACGTATAACAGATATTCATGCTAACCACTTTATTTAATGAAAGCATGCACGGTCCTTTTTATAGGCAGGTAAAAAGGACAACGTTTCTGTCCTGTACAAAGACTACAAACTGGAGTTTTAGCTTGTAATTCAGAAGTGCTACGAGAAGCATTTTTCAAAGTTCTGAACTAAAACAAGGGAATATTTATGCTACAAACTTAATCAGCTAAATGAAGTGATAAAAGTAGAAGCAAAGCTGCCTAGATTCTCTCCTTGTCCCCTAGAGAATGTCTCTAATGATAGTGTTGATAACCTGCGGTGCTTGTCCTTTTAATGTAAGCAGGTAAAACAAGGAGCTGAAGTTAGGCAATAGAAATGGTCCATTTCACAACTTTTCCTTGCTCTCCACCATGCTTGGCTGGAAGACTCACTGGTAGGAGTCTTTTAAGTTGTACAGCAAACTCTTCTGTGATTAGTCTTGATGTCTGTTGCTGATCAAACTATGATGTAGACCCTTGTTGAGAATCACATGGTGATGATGGATATCTCTGCTCTTCCTAGTATTTGCTGTTCATTCCTCCCACATCCAAAAGAAATGTGATTGTCAGAGAACTGAATCTGTAACCTTAGGTGAAGTTAAACATCCCATCAGCTTTTGAATAAAGGGGGGAAAAAGCATCATCAGTCATTTTTTGGGAAAAGATGCATCTGCCCATTTTAGTTGACCTTCCTTCAGTAAGACCCAGGTATATGTCCAGGCTGAAAACAGCAGTGATGACATCAGCTTTTAAGGGCTTGCAGTGATACTTTTTTGAGCCTGCCCATGATCTTTAAGTTTCCAGGCTGTATTTTGAGCAGGATTGCAATAGTTAATGTTGCCTTTTGTGGATGACAGGACTAATTCAGCCTACAGACTCAAGTACCTGAACATCTGTGGCCCCTTCTGCAGTTCTGTGACTTCCTAGTTTAGACGTAGAAAATGCCAGTCTTTTTTGTAATGTATTTGTCATTTTTTCATTAGAGCCCAAAACTAACATGAAACAGCAGAATTGTGCTGTGGAGCAGCCTAAAATAAAGCTTACCTTTTCAGACTGTCAGTATTCTCTTGTTCACCTTACTTGTATACTCATACTGAGTTACTGCTGTCTGCTTAGATGCACTGTCACTTGAGGGTTTTGTTCCTTACTTCTGATATCTTAGATACAAACATGAGAGAAGGCAAGGAAATTTTCTGGGTTTCCACCTTCCCCCTTCAGTACAGACGAAAAAAGTAATTTCTTGTGTGATTTTGATTTGGGTTTGGATCAAAGGCTTTGTGTTGTAAGATGAACTATTCACACATCTTATTTATTGATTCAAATTCAGTTTGGTTTATAGAGCTGGTAAACGAACATCTGTATATAATAGTTTTCTTTGTCTGAGCTTTCTTTGTAGTGAGTTTATGTAGAATGTGCGTATGTTTGTGTGTGTGTGTATATAAGACACATTCTTCAGATGTATTGGGTATTCTTTTGATTTTTGTGAAAGCTTACAACACAAACCAGATTTCTTTTTCAACAGGGGAAGCAACTCTTTACTTATTCAATAGTGGTGCACAGCAGCTGTTTGAAGTAAAAGCTTTTCATGAGGAATATCGTTCCTGGTTTATAGGTGAGACTGTTCAACAAGGTGAGTAATGTTATGTATCCTTCCCCCAACCATAACTAATGTTCATACAAAGAGACCTTCTCTCTTTCTTCTATTAAATTTACAGGTGTTTCTCTTAGTTGTTTGAGGCATGCTGCATCACGTCCCCACCTTCTGACGCACTCATTTGCCATCTGGATTTAAGCAGGGCTAGGGGCTTTGTGGTCTCTCTTTAAAAGGCTGCCTTTGGCAGCTTCAATTAGACAGATGTTGATTTGTCTTTGAGGAAGGGTATGGTGGGATGGGGGAGTTGTTCAGTTGTGTTTAAACTGAAGTGCCATAAAATACTTAGCTTTCCTTGTCAAACCAGAAAGTCCTTGGTGTACATAAAATATTTCTTATCCTATAGAAGGGAAAAAGGGCTGGAAAGCCTGAGCTAGCTAAGTGGAGCAACACTAAGCAGAACTCCAAGCACTGGAGTGTGGTTTGATCTGGTTTTCTTTTAATTACCTTTGTAGTCTTCTCTGTAAGTGCTGTGGGATAAGCCTGCTGTCTGAAGGTGCCATTTCAGTGCTGTGTCTAAGTGACCTCATCTGTAGCATCATAGTCTCTGATCCTAGCTCATCTTTCTGAAAATGAGAAAGAAGTTTGTGCAACCACTCGTGATGGCTTTAACAATCCTTTCTCAGTAAGGATGTCCCTGGTGTAGTGTTTCACTCCCAGAATTTCCATAGACTATGTAATTAGTATCCCTTCAGGAGATGAAGGTGTGTCCTTTTTGTCTGTTTGTAATTAGAAAAAAGACCATTTCTAATATTAAAATAAATAAAGTGACTCGAGCAGACATATACCTTCTTTAATGGCAATATCCCAAATGTGTGTTAACGTTTAAATGTACTTTGCAGGTGTATATAGCAATGCAAGCAGTAGGTCTACGAGCTTTTCCTTATTCCCTTTAGGGGTGAGCCAAAAGACTGAGTCTGCTCCCTGCTCCCAATTATGTCCACTCTATATTCTCCCCCTCCCTTTCTAACCTCTGCTTTGGCCCTTGGGAAACAATGGCCTTAAGGACTAATTGCCTTTTTCTTTTTTCTTTTTTTTTTTAATATATAAAAAAGGGGAAAATTTTTTCCTCAATGGAATTGGGCTGCTGCATCTCTGAAATAGTTGGGCCATGAACAACTCAGAAAAGCTGTGTGTTTGCAAATCATCTCATTATCTGCCAAGAAGGAAATGACTGGAATGTAGGAATAGACAGGTATAAACTCTTCAGGAAGGACAGGCAGAGGAGAAGGGGAGAGAGGTGTTGCCCTCTGCATCAAGAACCAGCTGGAGTTCATGGAGCTCTGCCTGGGGATTGATAAGGTGCTGACAGAGAGTTTATGGGTTAAGGTTAAAGGGAAGGCAGAGGAAGGAGACATCGTAGTGTGGGTCTGAAACGGGTGGCTCAACCAGGAAGACCAAGTGGGTGAGACCCTCTATAAACAGATAGGAGCAGCTTCACATTCATAAAACACGGTCTTTGTGGTGGCTTCAACCACCATGGTGTCTGTTGGAGGGGCAACAAAGCAGGGCACCAGAAATCAAGGAGGTTTCTGGAATGTGTTGATGATTACTTCTTCTAAGTGGTACAGAAATCCACAGAAGAGGTACTGTGCTGGAAATTGTCCTCACCAACTGGGAGGAGCTGGTGAGTAATGCAAAGTTCAAGGGCAGCCTTGGCTGTGGTGGAGTTCAAGATCCTCATCCACAGAATGGTGGAGTTCAAGATCCTTAGGGTGTCAAAGAGGGCTTGCTGCAAGCCTGCTACTCTGGACTTCAGGAGGGCAGACTTCAAACTCCTCAGAGAACTGCTTGGCAGGGTGACATGAGATAAAGCCCTGGAGGGAAGAGGGTCCCAAGAAAGCTGGTCAGTATTAAAGGACCATCTCCTCCATGTCCAGAAGCAGCGCATCCCTAGAAAGAAGGCAGGCAAGAATGCCAGAAGGCCACTGTGGGCCAGCAAGGAGCTCCTGGACTAACTTTGACTTAAAAAAGAAGTGCGTAGGGAGTGGAAGCAGGAATGGATTGCCTGGGAGGGCTACAAAGAAGGAATCAGGTTAGGAAAACTAAAACCCAGATGGAATTAAATCTAGCCAGGAACATAAGGGGTAACAAGAACAAATTCTACAGGTATATCAGCGATAAAAGGAAGGCCAGGAAAGATGTGGGCACCTTCTGGAACTAAACTGGAGACATGGTCACAGGGGATACAGAGAAAGCTCAGATGTTCAATGACTTCTTTGCCTCAATCTTTACCAACAAGGGCTCTAGCTGCACTGCCCAAGCTGCAGAAAGCAAAGGTAAGAACTGGGAGAAGGAACCCCTGCTGCTAGTGAAGATCAGGTTTGAGACTATCTGAAGACTGAAGGTGCGCAAGTCTATGGAACTCAGTGAGATCCATTCATGGATTACAAGGGAACCAACAGATGAAGTTGTCAAGCTGCTATCCGTCATGTTTTGAAAGGTTGTGGCAGCCTGGTGAAGTTCTCACTGACTGGAAACATAATCCCCATGTTCAAGAAGGGAAAAAAAGAAGATCCAGAAAACTACGGTCTCACCCCTGTGCTTGTCAGCATCATGGAAGAGTTCCTCCTGAAGGCTCTACTGAGGAGGAAATATGGAAAACAAAGTTGAGGTGATTGATGGTAACTAATATGGCTTCACCAATGGCAACTCATGCCTGACAAACTTGGTGGCCTTTTATGATGGAGTTACAGCATCAGTGGATAAAGGAAGAGTAACTGACATCATCTACCTGGACTTGCGCAGTGTTTGTCACTGTTTGCACGACATACTGATTGTCAAATAGAAGAAAAATGGATTTGATGGATGGACCATTTGCTGGATAAGGAATCGGCTGGATGGTTGCACTCTTGAGAGTTGCAGTCAATGTCTTCAATGTCTCAGTGTCCAAGTGGAGATGGTGACAAGTGGCATTCCTCAGGGATCAGTGCTGGGACCAGTGGTACTGAACATCTTTGTAGGCAGCATGGACAGTGGGATCAAGTGTAATCTCAGCACGTTTGCAAACGACACCAAGCTGAGTGGTGCAGTTGACATGCTAGAGGAAAAAGGATGCTGTTCAGAGGGTCCAGGAAAGGCTTGAGAGGTGGGCCCATGCCAGCCTCGTGTATTGCAACAAGGCCAAGTGCAAGGTCCTGCATCTGGGTCAGGGCAGTCCCAAGCACAGATACAGGCTGGGTGGAGAATGGCCTGATAGTGGCCGTGAGGAGAAGGATTTGGGGGTATCAATTGATGAAAGGCTCAGCATGGGCCAGCAGTGTGCATTTGCAGCCCAGAAGGCCAAATGTATTCTTGCATCAAGATTGCATCAAGAGAAGCATGACCAACAGGTTGAGGGAGATGATTCTGCCCCACTACTCTGCTCTCATGAAACCCCATCTGGAGTACTGCCTCCAGTTCTGGGGCCCCCAACACAAGAATGACATGGAGCTGTTGGAGCAGGTCCAGAGGAGGGCCACAAAGATGAATAGAGGGCTGGAGACAGGCTGAGAGAGCTGGGACTTTTCAGCCTGGAGAAGAGAAAGCTCTTGGGGGAGTTTATAGAGGCCTTCAAGTACCTGAAGGGGGCCGACAGGAAAGCTGGGAAGGGACTTTTTAGAAGGGCATGGAGCAACAGGACAAGGGGGAATAGTTCTGAAGTGGAAGAGGGTACGTTTGGACAAAATATAAAGAAGAAATTCTTTCCTGTGAGGGTGGTGAGACAGTGGAACAGGTTGCCCAGAGGCTGTGGGTGCCTCCTGCCTGGAAGCATTCAAAGCTAGGCTGGATGGGGCTTTGAGCAATCTGGTCTGGAGGAAGGTGTCCCTGCTTCTAGCAGGAAGGCTGGAACTAGATGACCAGATCTTAAAGGTCCTTTCCAACCCAAACCACTTCATGATTCTCCAAGGTCTTCATACAGCTACAGTGAGTCAGAACTCCATAGAACAAATTAAAATACTTTTTCCTGAAGGTACAGATGAAAGCTTTTAAATGGGAGCTTTAAGAAAAGGGCTAGTTTTTTTTTGTTTTTTTTTTTTTTTTCTCCGGTCTTATTATCAAAACTTGCAGGTTTGTGAAGAAGTAGTCTTGGTACTTTCTTTGCTAATAGCTGTGGAGTTGGGATTATTTTTGTCTAATTGTCAGGGAAATATATTCCCTTGGGACCTGGGTAGTATTCTTCCAGGGACCTGGCAGTGCCATACTTGGAGAAATATTTTGGCCCTGAGTGCCTTGGTTTTACTTGCTTGGGCTGGTCTGTATAATTTTAATGCCTTATATTTGTTTTTTTTTTCATTTGATTCGCACTGAGCACTAGAGCCATGTTTCATGGCTGGTACTTGGAGGCTTAGATTTTGAGTACCGATTTTCAGAAGGAAGACAGCAGAGTACAGTGTAAGAGCTCACTCTGCTCCAGCCTATGTGTCGTTTGGTATCCTCGAGGCTTGTCAGAAACTGTAGAAGTAGTCTTCTAACAAATAGCCATGTCTTCAATACTCCCTCTGGACAGAAAAATTGAAATTAGCTTAGAAATAAATGTAAATTGGATCTCCAAGCTAATTGGGCTGTACAGATGTAGAGACTGCAGGCGTTGCGTGATCTCAGTTTTACAGACAGATTGTCAACTTTGACCAGACCACTTTGTTGCCACCCTGTCTTTTGTTAGTTTTAAGGCTGTTCCAGTAGGATTTTCTTTCTTTAATTATCTTAGTCATGTGGATTGAAACAAAAAATTAAATTTATTTGTTTTCGGTTTGCTAATTAATGTCAAGTTGTTATCAATTATTTGGTCTAATTAGTGGAAATCCTTAATGTTACATTGTTTCAAATTATCTATGATTGTGCAGAGAGCACGAGTACGCTGTCATTCTGAAATGGTGGTGTAATTTTGAGTAGAACACTCAGTTATATATTCTCTGAACTGGCATTGCCTTGCCCAGTATCTGGGGCAGAGTGTGCTGGATATTTATCTACTACCTCAAAACAAGGTTCTGCTACACTGAAATCTGCCAATGGAGGGCAGCTTTAATTTTGTTGTTTGTCATATATCACTGAAAAAGGGAAAACATAGTGCTTCAAGTCAGAAGCAACAGAGCTTGTGCTTTCATTTGGCAGGGTTGAGAATTGAGCTCCCTGTATTTTTAATACAAAATCACAAATAGTGTTCCTGCCTATTTTAGTAAAATACTGGAATGCTTAATGTGAAAAAAAAAAAATCCTCTCTTCTTGCTTACACTCCTAAAAAGCATCTTAAAAAAATGATCCAGTGGTAGTTCTGTGCCTAGTAGTACTAACGACACTTTTTTATATCTGTCCCTTAGATGGGCGCCTGCTCTTTGTTACACCGATGGACCCCTTATTTCTGATACTTTATTACCTCATAAAGGCGGACAAAGAGGTAAGCCTGCTTATTTTTCTCATTGATATTCTCAGGAGGAAACATTATTTCTGTTATTGCATTAATTTTATGAAGAGGGACTTCCGTACTGTGGGAAATATAGTTTGCATTTAAAGCAGAGATGTTCATCCCATATGTATCTTTGTTTTCATCCTTTTTATTTTTGTGACCAATAAAGTATATTCCATGAATCAGCTTGGAACCTGAACAAAATGTAAACCCCCTCTTTGTAAGAGAAGCAGAGAATCTTTTGTCCTTTTGCGAGAGCCTATCCCGGAACTGTTGAATTTAAAATGGTAGATGTCATCATAATAAAACAAACTGGTGCCCATCCTGAGGAGTGGGTGATTCACTTTGAGAAAGAGAGGTAAAAAGAAAGATGAATTTGGATGCTGTGAAAGAGGAACTTTTATGTTGTGGTTTGAACTTGAAACATTGGCTTTTCAGAAATAGTGTTTGTAGAGATGGTGTATTGCTGAACAGCAAAGGGGTGAAAAACTACCCAAAAGATGGATAATACATTAATGGGTTAATCAATTTATTGTGGGTGTTGCAAAACCTTACTTAAATTTCATAAGTATATCAAAAGACATAGACAATATTGTTGTTTTACAGTTTATTATCTGCCTTTGAAGAAATGACAAAATAAAAACATGAATCCATATTTTTTATTTCATGGAGGCACTGATTTTGTTTCATGCATCCTAAGAGGTTTTTCTTCCATTAAGGTGGCTTGCTGTTTTCTGCTTTGGGTTACAAGTAGAGAATGCAGAAAAACTCTTCTTCTGTACTGAAGAAATATAGTTCCACTAGACATTTGTATTAGTAACCTATTGTTCTGTAATTGTTTCTAAATTATTTATGGTATAGGATATACCAAGAAATTCAGTTTTTCTGTGATCTGTTCTGCTTCAGGGTGGCCCATTAGAAGTCTCCTTACAGTCATAGTATTTTCATTTCTCTAGGTTTGAATTCAGCATCCCTTTGAAGAATTTATATCAAACTTAATTAGAGAATCAGTGTATCAGACTGTGATAAGTGCTAAGGTAAACTGAATAAAGGATGACCTTTCCTATGCACAGAAACTGCAGCAATAGTCCTGTACTGCCCTTTTCTTCTTAGGTACGTTGTTTCCTAAGTGTGACATGGTTCCAGATAAGTGTGTAGAGCTGTTACAGGTTACTCATTAAAGGCAATTGCATTCCTGCAGTGTCCTGCCTAAATTAATTTACTGTTGAGTAAAGGGAAGTCTTGAGGCCTGTGTGGCGGATACTTCATGCAAAGCCAGCTTGAATGTGGCAGATTTATTTTCTGGCTTGAACTAGTAAGTGTTAAGATACTCACTGGGTTCTGTAGAGTTATTATTTGTACCATCCTTTCATTTTGAAAGTACAGTCCAGGGTTGCTGAAGTCTCTCTGAGCAGAGCCATCTCCTGTCCAGTAGACCTTAGCTTAGGCTCTGTGTTGCTTCACAAGGTGAATGTAGCTGTCTTGCTTCTGGACACAAGCTAGCTTGTACATGTAAATTATCCACAGGAAGCTGTTTATTTCAGCTTTGTTTTTGCCTCTCATAACGTTTTGCCATTGTAATTGTGCCTTTTTAATTGGAAAAAATAAAAATGCATTCTTTTTTTTTTTTTTTTTTTAATCTTATTTTACGATATATGGTTATTTTTATTAAGGCTCTGTCTGCCTAATAAGAGGATTAATTAATAACGAAAGCGTTTTACCCAAGTGCTTTTTTTTTTTTTTGTCCTAACCGATGTAATGATTTCAGCTTTGGCTCCTGACACCGTGCACTCCCAAAGGATGGAGAGTTCACTAAGTCTTTGTACTGATGCGCTGAAGGATCTTTCCAAGGGGAAGGCTGCCAGTTGTGCCAAACTGTGCTGAGTGATTATGCATTGTTTGGCAACAGCAGGATTTGTTTGATGATTCTGTCATATGTAGGGCTATTTAAGTGCTGCCAAAATCACTTTATATGCATACTGTGGCCAAACTGAAATTGACTTTGCAGAGGTGAAAGGTTAATACTATGTTCCAGAAGTATGCCCTGCTCCTTTGAGATTTATCTTTATGGAGGGAAAAGCAAAATTTGAATGGGAGTTATGACACTGGATTTAATCCAACAGGTTTTGGTCTCAGACACTATTGGCACACGTTGACTACTGTGTCTTATGTCATCTTCCAAAAAATTTTTGCTGTACTTCACATTAGTTTATCCCATGTAGTTTTAAATTTGGATTCTTATGTGCAGTCGTTGAATAGTTCGGCATTTAGGAGATATTTGCTGGTTTGAAATAAATATTTATAGTTTACTTTGTAATCAGTTTCTAAATGTCATGTGGTACCATTCAAAGTAAATCTTCTTTAAGTCCTTTATTTTAAAGCTGTGGCAACTGCATGCATCTGCATTTCTATATGTGCATATGTGTGTATGTCTTAACAATATAATAATGCTTTTATTGTCCCTTTGATGTATTTTCAGCAGCAAGGAAAGTTCCAGCCACTGGATCAAGTTGTGCTAGATTCAGAGTACCCATATTGCCCATTGCTGCTGAAGTGTGAAGGAGTCAAACGGTCCATATGTCATATAACAGAAGAAAAAGGTGAAAAAAGTGCAGGGGAGGGTGTGGGAAAAGGCTGGGTTTATCTGTGCTTTCATTACAATATAGATTTCAGTACTGTTTTTTGCTTTCCAAACAAATCAAGGTATGCAAGATGAGGCTGTGCTTTCAAAGCAGAAGTTTAGGCTTAGAAGTCATTGTTGCAATATCATGAATCAGGTGTAACTGCTGTTACTGAAACAGTTGTGCAGTCTTCCTGCAAAGTGACATAAAAATGAAGAACTCATCAGAGCTGGCTTCCTAGATGTTCCTGTCTTCCACTAACAAGTAATATGCCAGATTTCTTTATCATTGCATAAAACATCATTGTGGCTGTGAGCTTTTCCTGAAGGATTTAGATGCACAAGCTCAAGTATTTCCTTTATGCTGTGATATATATAGAGAGAGTTAACATGGAGCTCTTACTTCTCTAAAAGAATCAGTTTGAACTTTGTGGCAGGACTGGTTTCAGTTGAAATGATAACCAGACAGCAGAAAATCTAGGCAGCGAGATAGTATGTTTTGCTGGGACTGAGGTAGTTGGAATTATGTACTGTCCTGGATTTTCAAAAGAAACTGAAGAAAGCATTAACTTGCATTTGGTATTGGTGGGAGTAGGCAACACTTTTCCTAGGATGAGTTGTGATTTTTGAGAAGACTTCCTTAACACGGGTACATCTGAACTACAGAACCTCTTTTTTTCTTCCCAGAGTGATAAATGCTTCCAATAGAAATTAGCATTAAACTTTTAGGCATTTTCTGTCCCCCTGCAGCTTATCTAATGCTGACTAAGGTGCTGTGAGTGAGAGAGAAGATAGTAAAATTCTGCCCACCCATCTGGGAAGGTGAAAAATGCTGTCAGATTTTCTTGACTGTCAAACTAGAGCTCTGCATAGGAATATAGGGCAAGGTGAAATCATTTTTCTGAAATGCCACTTCCCCCAAGCAGGGGTACTGTTGTTTGGGCAGCATTTGTTTTCTTTTTAACAGCAAAAGAATGTATATGTATATCTAAAGTATTTGCCGTAGACACATAAGATGTGGGACTTGTTCTTAGAATTTCTTTAGTTTCTTAGAATGCTAAAGTTGTGATTATGCAATAGACACATTAGGGCTTGCCCACTTGTCGTGCACGAGATCACCTTTTTGTGCAATCCCCCTCTATGTGTTTCATTTTCACATCTCTTTTACTGCTTGTAAAAAATACCAATATTATGACTAATATACTCTTTTCCAGTGCTAGGACTTGTCCCCTACGTAGCCTTTCTTATTTAAGGAGTTGGGCTTTAGAGTAAGAAGTATCTGTCATGTTCTGTCTTCTGCAACTCTGTTCTGTTTGGCAGAAGCTAACAACATAATTATTTCACTTTCAATTTAATTTAAAGGCTCTTAACATCTGTATAACAAGCTCTTACCCTAGAGCAATCACAGTTTACACTTAATGAGTTAGTAGAAAGTTCACCTTCCCTGGCCTCACTGTCAAAGGGCACTGAAAATTCATTTTGCTGGATTAAATTCCCATTTACCTGCTTCAGTAGTTGGGGAAAAGAGTGTGTTACGGCTCACTAAGCCTGGGTTGGGCAGGTTGTTTGCTAATAAATTCAAAGATTGGATAAAGTGTATGACAGAGAAGGTTTGAGAAAAGGTTATGAACTCCAGTGCCAAAGTGTTACTCTGTGTTTCATTTTGCAAGGCAAAAACTGCACTGTGATCTTGTCTGATGTGATTAACATGGAGAGCCAAGAGAACTTACCTGATTAGAATAACTAAGTAATATTGCCAAGCTTGTATTCCCAGAAGGTAGGAAAAAGGGGCCATATGAGTTTCTGAGTTATGGAAAACACTGAGAAAATGGATGTTAAAATGTGCTTTAGGCAGTTTGCTCAACAATACATCGGGGAAACTTCCAAGTCTACATAGCGATTACCCGATCGCTGAACATATTATTTAATTGTAGAACCACTTATATTCCATCTGTATTTCTCAAACCCAATCTTTCCAGATGTCTCAGACCAGTTTTATAGGCACCAGACACATTAGGGGGAAAAAAAGCTTTCCAATATATACTCATATTATCAAACATAGTCGCTAACTCTCACCAATATCAAATGTGCATCACATGTTAAATCCACGTTCCAATATTGAATCCTTTTGTCAGCAGTTTGTGACTTTCATAACTCACTTTAATTCTTCAGAGGTCTCAGATACTGTCAGTTCTAGAGTTTAATAGTCAAAACTGTCAAGCACACAAAATATTTTCAAACAAAGTGATCTCTGAAGGATTCAGCATAATTATTTTTCACATGTTTTAATGAAAATGGCTTCACAGTTCTACGTTTCCTTTCCCTAACTGAGTCACTCTGAATCATACTGTTGTGGGGGAGTCTGCCTGGGAATCCAGACTGGAATTACTTTTCAGCGTGGGTTGGGGGATGGTGGCAGGAGGACGTCCCTTCCTCAAACTTTTTCAGATAAGAGAGGAATCCATGAATCGTGCTCACTGTACTTGGACCCAAACCATGTTAGCTCTTTGAGAAGCAGGTTCAAGAATCCAGAGTGTCTCCCCCATTTTCTGCTTCTCTTTCAGATCTTGTAAGTCACTGCAGCCAGCAATGTCACACCTAATTACTTTATCTGCGACTCATCAACTTCATGAAGCAAAGTGTATATTAGCCCTTTTTTTCCTTCTTACTCAGAAAAAAATGTGTTTTACTCTTCTACAGCTAGCGAGATGGATTTAAACTTTATCTTGAAGACAGCTTTCCCTGACCTCTCTGTACCCCCTACCATGCATACATAAAGAGTGCATAATAGTTAGATATTTGTATGCAGTTTGAAGGAGCCAAGATAAACCCCAAAGAAGGAAATGCTGAAACAATCATAAATAATATGTTGTTGTTTGCAAGGGGAAAAGGAAACTCCATGAACCGAGTGTTGAAATATGATAGTGAGTCAATAAATGACATGAAACAGATGTATGTATTTATGGCAATGGTATAGAGGAGATTAAAAGCTATTGAAATACCTGCTAAAGAACAAGCTTCAAACATTGCGGACTCTGAAATCTCCTGTGTAATCTGATTAGGCATTCTTTTCCATTTCTAAACTGAAACTCTGTGAAGTAATACTCAATAATTTTTATCCTAAAATTTTGATCAGCCCATGTAATTTTCTCTCTCCTTTACCTCAGCATCCTGAATTCACGTATTTGCAGCTAACTGATCACACATGGATAGCGAAGTGTTCATGGTACCCTAGTTGTCACAGGGGATAAAGTTTCTGAAATTCTTATATCATCGAGTTAATTTATGCTGCACAATAAATCAAAAATGAATCTTGTACTTCCTCCCACTAGGAGTATGCTTCACTGTTTTTATTCTGTTTTCTTCTGACACTGTATTATGTCGCATAAAAAGGGAATAGAGGTAAAACTTCAGTTAGAGTTGCCTTGTGAAGTAAAAGGAGAGGGAGTTATAGGAAAAGGGATTATTGAAAGGGCAGATAGTTTATCTTCCTAACCAACCCTCTCTCCTGGCCCCTTACTAATTGCTGGAATTCATAAATTATTGGTTTAACATACTGTGTAGTGGGGTTTGGTGTGGTTTTGTGGGATTTTTTTTTAATTTTGTTTTGTTGATTTTTTTTTTAAAGCAGTCATAGAAACAACGTTTTATGTTGCAAACTGTGCAATTAAAATGACCATTCCAGCAATGCAGGGCAGTGAAAATTTGGCAAACGAGGGCTTGAGAAAAGTCTTACTGAATTCAGGCAGCAAGAGATTACACATATATAAATAAAATATGTACTTTGCTGGATTGGAGCCTAATTAAGGATTGTTAGGTTGTTCAGACTCATATCAGTTCAGTCTGTTTATTTTTTCATGTTTCCAGTATTTTTGCAACTTTTTGTCCTGATATCAAACATGTCCAAGTTGCAAATTAACTTTCATACTCTGTCTACAACTCTGAAGATTCTAAGCGTATTGAAAATGCAGTCCATACCAGTTGTGACTTTCTTCCCCTTATTTGGTTTTATCTCAGAGATTGGCAGTCAGAAATTTCACAAGTACAGCCAAGAGAAAACGTTGAAGTGGTTAAAGAAAAAGGTATTGTGTTTCTCTTTTACTTTCAGAATTACTTTATGTTTAAAATCCAAGTGCATATTGGCTTGTTCATATCTGTGCTTTGAGCCATGTGGCATCCCTCAATTGAATCTAGGGGAAACGTACTTTGCAGCGAATGCCTGAGTTTTTATGTCCAAGCAGTACCTGTTAGTGTTGTTGAAAACTTCTTTGTCTGACAGTGTTCTGTGTTAGATACGGTGTAACAGCGCTCGGTAGTCCATCTTTGCAGTTCATCTGAGCTCAGGGATTCTCTGTTCTCCTAGCAGGTATATTTCTCACCTGTATAATGGTGACTGTTCCTTCTGAATAGCTCTGCTCATCTCAGGGTGCTGCAAAATTGGTGCTGTGTTACCAAGGCAACATGCTCAAAAACGTGCTAGCTTCTTTGCGTTTTTGAGCTCATATGCTAGTCATTACAAATGTATATTAAATTTCACCACAGTCCATAACTTGAGTGTTTTATATGCTTGAAACAAAATTACAAGAGCTTTGTCACTGCATTAACTTGTGCATAACAACACTGATATAGACATTTCATTCTGTGGTTTCCTATAGGTCAATCAAACAGTGAAAGCACTTAAAAGCAACAATATATGTGTAGGCGAAAGGATATATTCAGCTACATTTGTCAGCGGTAAACAAATCACTGATGCTGAAGAAGGTAAGGAAACTAACCATTTAAGCACTGTAATAAATTCAGTTTTTGTGAAGTTGCGTGCCTGTAGTTAAAACACAGCATCTGAAACATACTTAAAGTGTACTAAAGTCTGCAGTGAGTGTATTCCTTACACAGAAAGATGCAGACAGATTGTGACTGAGTCTCTTGACTTTTCTGAGGTGGTATCTTCATCGAGGCCATTGCATTTAACTGTAGGTCTCAGCTGGATTGTTTTTGCTTCTTAACCTGCAGAAAAGTTGTTTTCTCATTGGAATATATGCTGAAGTGTTTTGCGGAACTGAGACCATCTTGTGTAATAGGGCACATGCATTTAATGTGTGTGAGTATCCACACAATAAAAGTCTACACTAGAAAAGGCTATTTTTATTAGCACGCAAATGCTGTTTATATGATTGTCCTTAAAGGAAAGGGATCATAAGAAAGACATAGTCAAAGAGGAAGATTAGGTGTAGAATACACACAAGTGCACTTATTCAGGGCAAAAACTTCAATACTATATATATTAAATATCTCTGAAAGTGGCTTTGTCTGTACCAGAAGGCCTGAAGTGGTCCTGTTTGATTCTAATCACCTTTTTTTGCTGGTGAGGGCTGCGTCCTGATTGTCACTTACATATGAAGTTGTGTAGACAAACCTAAAAATGACCTGGGAAATAAGTTGTTTGAAAGTTAATGAAAATTAAAAAAGGTTTCGAACAAAATGAACAAAATCAAATTGTTTCTGATTACTACTAAGAGATTCAGAAGTCTGCATGCCACTGAAAAATAAAGAAAAACAAAGCAATTTGCTGACAAAGTGGAAAAGGAGTTACCAAGTAACGATATCAAAGGAAACAGCATGAATGAGATTTAAGAGGCAGCTAGACAGTTTTATAGAACAGAGATTGTAATACATGGTTTTTAAAAAGAGGCAGTGCTGTAAAACTTGTAAGTTACTTTAACTTCACAGTAGCTTTTTTTTTGTTTTTTCCTACCTTTACTTTAATGAAATGGAAAGCTGTCCTGTCCTGACAGTGACAATCTTGATGATACCTAAATACTTTATCTCTGAAATTTTTTACCAAACTGCTAATCTGCACTGTTTTTTCCATCTTCCTGCTTGCTTATGGAAGTATGCATATACTTGCCTTTTTAGATTTGTAGATCTAAACAAGCAGCAATTAAGTTGGGAATACTGAAGGTTAAAAATGGGTAAGTTTTGGGGGAAGTTCCACTGTATGTAACAAGATGAATGACAGGAAGTCAAACAAGACCTTACTCAACACTTATTTTTAATAAGCATCATTTTCTTGCCTGATCTTTCACTGTCTTGACAGTGCAGTTTATATCTGTAGAGAATTACTTGTGTAGGAGTACTGTGAAATTTCAGTACGTTACAAATAGATTAATATTATAGTTAGCTTTTACACATGTCATAGGGCAAAAACCTAGATGTACGTAATAAGTGCAAGGAGGAAAGGAGGCAAAGTTTAAGATGTGAAACTTTAGTATTTCATTGGGAAGACAAAGAAGGTAGGTGCACAGGTATTCCTGGTGTTTGACAGGTTAGTAATGAATCAAGACTAAGTTCCAGTACCTGGAAGGCAAACAGTGATTGGGGTCAAGTGAAACTTCAGCTAGTTTGCTAATGACATCTAGCTGAGTGGTGCAGTTGATAACGGCAGAAGGAAGGGGTGCCATCCAAAGACACCTTGATAAATTCTAAAAGTGGGCCCGTGTGTAGGTAATAAGGTTCAACAAAGCAAAGTACAAGGTTTTGCATTTAGTTTGGGGTAATCCCAGGTATGTATACAGACTGGGAGAAGAAACTCCTTGAGAATAGCCCTGCTGAGAAAGATTTAGAAGTCTTGGTAGATGAAGAACTTAATGTGACCCAGCAGTGTGCACTTGCAACCCAGAATGCCAACAACATCCTAGGCTGCGTCAGAAGAGGGGTGGCCAGCAAGGTGAGGGAAGTATTTGTCCCTATCCACTCTGCCCTTATGAGGCCCCATCTGAAGTACTGCATCCGGGTCTGGGACTGACAGTACAGGAGGGATGTAGAGCTGTTGGAGTGTATCCAGAGGAGGGCCATGAAGATAGTCAGAGGTCTGGAGCACCTCCCCGATGAAGACAGGCTGAAGGAGCTAGGCTTGTTCAGTCTGATGGAGAGAAGGCTGTGGGGAGACCTCGATATGGCATTCCTGTATTTAATGGGAGGTTATAAATAGGAGGGAAATCGACTTGTTACATGGGTAGATAGTGACAGGATAAAGGGAATGGTTTTAAACTGAGAGAGGAAAGATTTAGGTTAGATTTCAGAGTGAAGTTTTTCATTGAGAGGGCGGTGAGGTGCTGGAACAGGTAACCCAGAGAAATTGTGGATTCCCCATCCCTGGTGATATTCAAGGCCAGGTTGGATGGGGCCCTGGGCAACCTGATCTGTTGCTTGATCTTGCAGTTGGTAACTCGGCCTGTGGCACAGAGGTTGGAACTTGATGATCCCTGAGGTCCCTTCCAACCCAAGCCATTCTATTAATCTAAAGGAAGTCAGTGAAGATTGCTTGAAGGCAGAAATACATTTTAAATTTTATATTTGGCTGTGATAGTAAGTAGTTGACTTGTCCTTGCCGTTCAGTCTTACAGTGCTGAGAGTGAAATGATTGGAATAATTTTCTTAGGAGATAAATTGTGCATATTAAATACAGAAGTGAAGTTGTCTTGGATTGGAATTGTTTCTTCTTCTCTCCTGACCCTGTAAAAAAAACTTAGGGAGTGACAAAAACTTGATGAATAAAGGTAGTGGAGGAAGAAGTGCAGACAGAAGATTCTGTGAATTTGATGACAGTCTGATTGAAATGCATATGTTGATGTCAGTTTGTTAATGCTCTCAGCTTCAATGCCAATTTGTACTGAGCTTTTTTAATTAAAAAATAAAAAAAAGAAAGAAACTCTCTCTCACACCTTAAAAATAGTTCTTTACCACTGAGGCAAGTTTACCATGCGCTTCTGAACTCTCTCAAGTGTGTCATATGAGCAGATAGAACTGGCGTACTGTATGTGGAATTCAGAGGTGAGATTTTAGTTTAATGTCTCTCTGGCAAATGCTTCCTGCGTGGATAAAGTTACTCCCTAGCAGCCTTGACAACAGTAAGTTTTAGAAGATCCAGCCTATGATCAGTCAGTGCTGGTGTAGAACGTGACTGGAAAAGGTCTGGTTTAGAACTTCATGTTTTAAAAGAGTCACCTTTTTTTTTTTTTTTTTTTCCTTTCTCTCAGAAAGACGTTTATAGCAGGAGTGCCCCGTACTGAGAACAGCTTCTAGTAGTTCTTATTTCCACAGATAATTATCCTGTCTTGCCAGCGATGTTTAGATAGGCCTTGGCATTTTCCATAAAGTACTGAAATTAAGTATAAGACTTTGAAATAGACTCATTGTCTCATCTAATTGTTTTCAGTTGAAGCCAGAAAATGTACTTTAGTACTGAAGGGCTTGCCAAATAATTGTAAGATCCAGATGCTTTAAAATTAATGATTGCATGTTCTGTTGAGTCAGCTTTTTACTTTTGCAGGTTTTTAAAATTTAATTTCTTCGGAAAAATACATGATATCTGGTGTTCTCTGAAAGTGAACAGTTTTTGTTAAGTACATACAGCAGATATTAATAACATGTGCTGACAAAGTGAGTGTAGTAAGTCTTTACTTTTTAACTAAACCTACAAGTGTCATGTAACATAAACTACTCAACACAGAGAACCATCACAGTGTATCCATTAGAAGTCTCTTACTGTTAGTTCAATCTTATGATTTATGGTAGTGCATACATCATGACTAAGGCAGCATGACTATATATAATGTGAATGCTCTTTTTTTTTCTTCTCTTTTCTTTTCTCTGCCCTGTTGCTGAAGACTATGTGCGATATGCCCATGGGTTAATATCAGAATATATTACTGAAGAGCTGAGCAAGGAGCTGTCAAAATACCTAGGGTAAGCATTTTGTTTCAGCTAGCTGCTAGCCACATGTGGCATATATTAATGTCCTTTTGGTCATTTCTATTGAATATTTATATCTGGTCATCAAAATTACAGTGAATAACACAATCCTACCCCTTCACATTCTGTTTAAATGTGATATTTTCAAATGTACATTGTGCCCTTCTGTGATACTGAGGACGTGGGCTGGAGGAGAGATGTAATAATACCTAAATCTCCTAAACGTCTGTTATCACAATTGCATCTGAAATGCTCAAGCAATTTATGCAATTCTAGAGGGGAATAAAAGGAAATCCAAAGAGTTAAAGCACTGTGTCCGTAATTGTGGAGCATGAATAACGCTGCCTGGAAATACAGTCCTCATCCCCAGTGCTCTTTCCTTTTTCCTAATCGCTCAGTGCTGCTGGGATTTGAGTTCACATATCTAGCCTGTGCTAACTTACACTTCTTATCTATTCTTATCAGGTGAGTCAGTGTCCTCATACTGTGTTCTTAACCAGCAGCAGTTTGCTTGGAGCGTGTCTGGGACTCAGTGTTTTCCCTTCCATTCAGATTTGCTTAGTGCATTCTCTTATTGTGGCCTATAGAAAAAATGTGCAGTTCACACCTCAGAGGCCCCATATCTTAACTTTGTTATAGTTATGTGTTAGTGCTGCTATTGTGTTAGGTACTTTATGATATCATCTTACTAAAAAACCCAAAGTTTTCAAAGGTAAGGTGGGAGTCTCCTGTTTTGGCTGCCCAGACTAAGAAATTTTAAGAGCCCATGTTTCTGGCTCTGTTTTAGTTACCTAAGGGTCCGTGAGCCATTTTTTGTAAACACATGCCATGTGTGAGCAACTGACACACAAAGCAACCACTGCTGGGGAGGAGTTAAACTTTAGGTTGTGCCATCCAGCTGTCTAAATTTATAATGTGAAGTCTTTTTGTTCTGCAGTCTTCCAGAGCATACAGTCCCAGCACCAGAGCCACCGTTGAAGGTAAGAAAGATATTGACAGATATAGTCTGTTGTAAGCTAATCTCTCTGAATTGTTGTTAAAACTGAATTAAGCCAAGCACTGGGTACAATACAATATGTAAAGTAAATTGACCTTGTAAAAATCCAGTCTGAAATAACACAAGAACATTATCATGTACTTTTATCTTTTACGTTAAGCAATATTTTGGTTGGTTTTCCAATTTGGAAAAAAAAAAAAAAAGGGGGGGGGGGGGGTGAAGAGAGAGACTTATTTTATAGTTTTGGTCAGCAATCTTTTCTTATGTGTTTTGCTCATTTAGTTTTATTGAGGTTGATGGGACAATATGACCTCATAGGTTTCTTTTTGTATGTAATTTATGAGGACCCTGAAAGGGACCTCCTGGGTCACAGATTCCCAGACAACCATGTTGGGTAATCTCTTGTACACTGACCGTTCTCCACTGTAGGATTCATTAGGATTTTTATTTCCATTACTTCTCTTGGAATTCTGTTCTATAACCTCATTCCTCTGATGCTCAGAAACCTTCCTGTAAATTCCACCTTGAATTTATTCATAGCCAATTTATTCCTCTGTGGTTTTGTGCTAACATTATTGTGTTCATTTTTTCATTGAAATGGTTCTTTTCCCTCCATAACCATTAGTTCTCTCTGTGTGTAAAGGGAAAATGCATATCCTTTCTCTTTTCATTTTGTAAATCTAAGCTTGAATTGTGGAAGATGGGTTCTCCATTTTCTCATAAATATCTCACATTTCTTTGCACCTGTTCCAAGATTGCTTGAAGACAGGTGACCAAAGTAATATAATTTTTCATGATAACATCTTTATCAATGCAATACGGTGGCATTAATCCGTTCTGGTCTTAACTGGAAGTACTGTCTCTCATCATATTTTAGAATCCCATTTGCCACTCTTACTGTGTGATGTGGCAGATATGCTGCAAACAGTTAAGACACGCATGTCTTTTTTTCTCTCCACTGCAACCCTTAGTGGATCAGCATTCAGTTTATACCTGAAATTCATACAGCCAGCTGGTAGGTAGGTACATGACCTTGTACTTCTGGACATTTCATCCATTTATAACATTTCAAGACTTGAAGGATCTTTGGCTTTTCCTTCACAGTGTTGCAAGCTCTTTAGGTAGCCATAATGGTACCCCGTGGTGTACATTCAGTAAATGTTAGCATGCTTTTATCTTTAACAATGATCATTTTGAGTATGTATTGTACATGGCACTCCATTGGTAATATTCACCAATCCCTGTGGGATCCCTTTCTGCATTATTTGCCTTTGTTTCCCTTTCACACAGATTCTTACCTACCCTAAAATCCTCATGTAATCTTAATTTTATATCATTTCAGTTACCTCAGGGGTCAGATCCTCTGGCAATCTCTTACGTTTATCGTCACCAGAAAATGTACTATCTTTGTGGAGGAGAAAAAAAAAGGCCATGTCAGTAGGCATTACCCACATTTAGTTTTTACTTAGTCTGTGTCTTTAATTGTTCTTCCTTCTTTCACTTTTTCCCCTTTTCTACTCTTCTGAGTCCTATTATTACTACTTTTCTTCTCTAATGTACGATGGATATTTTGCTGTTCTGTAGAATATAGCCCCTATCCAGTAGAATAGTTGCCAGGGTTTACTTCTGGACTTGTGATTTTTGAAGCATTCTCCCAACAGTGTCAGTGTATTGAGTTTTACTTCTGTCCTGAACAGAGAGATTTATTTTTTTCTGCTCATGTTTAACCCTTCATCTTCTTTGAAAACGAAGAGGCAAAGGATTTAACCTGTTTTAGGGTTAGACATAGATTAGTTTTAATATCTATTCATGTGTAGCAGCCATGCTTTTTTGATTCCATTTTTGCTTCTGTGGCTAAAACACCTTTTGCTGTTTGTTTTAATTTCCATCCCAAGGCCTAACTCAGCTTGACTTTTTGGCATTTTTCACTTTATCCCTGTATTACCTGACCCTAAAACAAACGTGTTTTTTTCTTGTTTTTTTTCCCATTTGTTGTAGAATTTTGCTTACTCCCAATATCTTTTAATTTGAGGAGGGTGGGGAAATGTGTGCATCTGTTCAAGTGTTTGTAGGGGCAATATTCATTTGGTTTAGTCTGACAAACTCTTTTCTTCAAGATTTATCACTTTGAGGTTGAACATCCAAAATCACTTCATCTTTTTCTTTTGCATTCAAAATGTCTTCCTCACATATCAAGCCTTCTGCTTTGGCTTTGAGAAATAGCACAGATGATTTGCACAGCTTGCCCTCTGGAATCCTAAGCCCCACTTTTGAGTTTCTTTGTCATTTAATATACAGGCACTCTGTATACTGAATATTCTGTATTCTAAAACTAGATTTCTTACTGCAGTGACCTTTCCTGCAAAGTCCCTGCTACTTACTGAAACAATGTCTAAAATAACTTTGTTTCTGGCTGGTTCAGTGACTGTTTTGCTAAGCAGTATGTCAGCTAGCACATGTAGGAATAATTGGGCCCTACTGTTATTAATAGCATTTGTTCTCCAATGTATATCTGTGGATAGAAGTTATTTCCATGTGGTTGGACAGTTGTTCTGGCTGCACAGTTACTTGGCCCTTTGATTCTGTTAAGAATTATCTTTACACATTGTAAGAAATATTAAGCACACATCATGAGCCAACTGATATTCATTAGCTGTATAAGGATGTATAAGATGTTACGACAACTATATTAAACTGCACGTGATGTACATTACATATTGTGTATGAACAGCTTTTATTCCATTGGGATAGTTCTTAGAATCTATTTTTAAAAACTGTTGTATTTCAGCAGTTGGGTTACAGAGGAAACGAGGCTTAGAACTATTCAGTTGTTGGGCAGTGAAATCTTGCTGAGGATCCCATGAATTTCCAGAGCAGGATTTGCATGATGCATCTATCTTTGCAACTTAAGGAGCTTAAAATTCTCCTTTATTTCACAACCTCAGAGGAGTGTGACTTGTACACTGAAATCGTTAGTGCATTTTTGACCATTTTTACTTGCACTGAAATTTTTCCTTGTGAGGGCAAGGTGTCTTGGCAGTCATAGTATACAATTAGTGCAAATAAAGTAGAGTATAGCGTGTATTTTCTAGTATGGTAAAGTAGTTGCACATTTGGAAATGCTGTTAAGATAAATTAGCAAGGAAGGAGAAATTTAGAAGCTTCTATGCTTGACAGAAGAAGCTATGGCAGATTCTGTCTCTTTTAGTACCAAAGTAAGCTGGATGCAGTCTGGACATTGTGATTTAATGATTAAATCAAAATTATTTGTAATCCGTATTGTAATCAAGAGTGTGCCATTGATCTTGTGTTGTAATCTTCATACTATCCAGTTTGTCAGCACAGGGAGTCTGGCCATTGGCTGTAGATAAGACAGCTTACAAAAAGAATGTGTATGCTCTACTACAGCTGAAGAGCAAATCCTTTGCTGAAATGCAAACATTTTATTAAAGTTTTAAACATTTGTTTATCAGATTCCAAAAAGAGGAGCATAGTCGTTATTCATTAGATTGTCAATTGAAAATGTAATCACAGCTCAGTAAACAGCCTCCCAGAGAGTCTGATCCAGATACCGTTGAAATCAAAAGAGAAGGCTGCTGTTGGATCTGGTTCTAAGAGCTGAGAAATCTAAGCTGCAGACCTGGTTTCAGTGCCAGAGAGAGAGAAAGCAGGGTGGGGAGTGGGGATCACAAGCTCTGTAAACAACATGAATAAAACAGGATCTTAAAATGGTACGGTACCATCCAAGTTGCTTGCAAAATCACTCTCCTTGGCACAGAAACTAGGAAGGCCATAGCTTAGATTTCACAGGATATTAAGGACAGGGTAGTAATATCAGATATATAGTAATAATAAAAATAGGACATTGTAAAATATATACAGTTTTTTTCCCCTTTTGGAAGCATACCAGAAAGTTTTCACCTTTAAACTAAGCACATGCTTACAGTTTGTGGAAAGAAATACTCATTCTTACAGCCTGATCATGTGAAGTTCTGAGAACCCTTAAGTCCTATTATTTCTGAAGCTAAAAGGCACTCAACGCATGCCGAGTCAAACTTCTCAATATACTGCTGGATTCAAATGACGAAACAGTCAGCAGAACTGTATGTCAGTGTTTCATTTTTTGCCAAACTGTAAGAACTAATTAATTTTAGAGGTTATGCACAAACAGATAAGAGACTAGATAGTGATCCACCTGTGCTGGCAGATAGCAATAATACTGGCTGGAGTGGCTGGTCCTTTACAGTTCTGTGAGATTGACAAGAGTCTGGGTTCACTGGCTGTTAGACACTGGCTTCCAACAGCTGCTCCATAAAGGTTCTCTAAATATTTAGAGTCTGACACCACAGATAAAATCATGGAAATTAGAAACTGGATTGAAGTCATTTCTGTAAGTCATTCTTCAGAGGCTGGGAAGAAATAATAGTTCTTACGACAGTGAATGATATATTCTCATTACTGTAGAGACTACAGATATGTAAAGAAGACAATTACAAAAAGAAATCTTCAGCTTTTACTGCAGATTCCTCTGTTCATTGCCAGTCCTGTTTTGGTGCTATGGTTACGTTACAAAGCCAAAGCTTAGTAACTACCATGTGTGTACATCTTAAAAGTGGTTGACAGGGCAACTTCCTCACTCTAACATTTCAGAAAAGGAAGTTATCAGATGTCCCTGTGGAAGCAGAAGAAGACTATACTAAGTTTAACAGCAGTAATCTGAAAAACAAAAAGGTAAGTAAGCCTTGCATTCGTGCATGTTCTGTTAAAGCGTAGCTTAAAGCTCAGTATTAGCACAGAGCCCCTTTTTCTCAACTCCAAAACACATTAAAAGAAAAAAATGAGGAAAAAAAAGCCTAATGTCAGATGTATGCAGCTGCATCATCATCAGCTTTCAGGCATAACTTGACTCAGGTCTTCTGTTCCATACTGAACTCTTCTAAACTGTTATTTATTTATTATTTATAGCTGTATTTTATCAGTGAA